GGGAGGAACAGGTGGAAGGAAGTCAGGCGTGTGTAGGTGGGAAGAGACAGAGAGTGGGAAGAAAGGTAAAATAACGTCCAGAGATCAAAACATGTGCAAAGGTCTGAAGTAACAGATCACAGAAAGGATGGAGAATAAATAGCTAGGACATAACTTTAAGATGTGGCTGGCAAGAACTACAGCTGAAGAAATAAACTGGAACCAGACCATAAGGATTTCTGAGCCATTTTAAGGAATGTGGAATTATCTTCAGGTATCCCCTAAACTTTACTAAAAGTTTCATAACAAAGAAAAGAAAGTTAAAAGTAGTAAGGAATCAGATTACCTAAAATAAGAATTCCAAGTCCAATTACCTACAGACTAGATAAATAAAAAACCCAAGTAAAGTGGACCACATGTAAGAAAAACCCAAGAGACAACAGGAAATTATGAGAAATGTGGAATGCAAAAGCCCTAACTAAGACTGGGGCAGATGTGATTCAGTATGCTAGATCTTCTGAGTTTTAAAAAGACAGAAATTCAAATTGTCAAGATTAATCTCATTATTTTAATACTGACAATTAAACTTCTTTGAAACATGATTCAAGCCAAGTTAAGAAGACCAAACAAAAGACCATGAGTCAAACTGCTATTTATAGAACCCCCAAAACAGTGGAAGGAGATATTTAAACACTTGCTGAAGATCTGAGCAGAAATGACAAGTAACCACTTGAAAAGACACAGTGACTCTCTTATTCACTTCTGAAAAGGATTTAACATTTAGTTGGTCTCAGCAAATATTTAATAATGAAGCAAACACTGGAATTTGCTGAAAGTGTCATGGCAGTAGATAGGACAAAAGAGAACAGAAAATATAAATGAGAAAACTAATCCAGTGCTTCTTTGCTCTAGCATTAGCCTCTTCTATTGGTTTTTAGTTCCTCTCACAGTCAGCTGCTGGCACATGCTGCCTAGATTCTTTTATGTCACTTGGTGTTCTTTCTTTGGCTAAGTAATGGAAATTTGGCCAACACACCAGTAACCACAATTAGCAACTATCGGCTTTCATCCAGCTAGGGGCAATGAAATTAAATAGGATGAGTGATCACACTGGATAGGAAAAGAATAATATTCATTGCTTTGTTTCAACTTCAAGCCAGAAACTAATGCTAATTCCATGGCCTATCTTAAAGCTGTCCACTGTTGCTGAAAATGCTATCTTATCAAGGGTAAGTAATAGTCAAATGCTTCACTAATTATGCTGGGCAATGCAACAAAATGGTATGCCTGGATAGCAGGATAAAGAAGAAATGAGGTAGAGTTTGAGATTCTGCTAGAATGGAGTTGGTATAACAAGGAAGTAGGTATAAAGACTGCATACTTGGAACAGATATGGAAAGTAAGCAATAATGAAGACAAGAAAATAGGTAGCTCAGGAAATCTCGGTTTTGAATATTTATAGTTCCACCTACTAGGAAGGCTTAGGCAGAAGAAAAGCTTGAGCCCAGGAGTTCAAGGCCAGTTTGAGTTAACACAGGAATACCCTGTCACAGGGGGAAAAAAACAAGCAAAATTTGGTACCATTTGAAATAAACAAGAAAATTCTGCTGGCATAGGGATGCATGAATAGTCAGTATTGCAGGTTATAAATTCATTTACAGAGCATAATTTTCTTAAGTGCCCCTCATCTCAGAAAGGTGAAACCAACAGGCTATCATTATTAAGTCATGTGCTTGTACTTTAGATGGGGCTCACTTTGCAGTATTTTCACTCTCAGATTGTATCTACAAGGGAAAAAGAGCAGAGAACAATGAGTTGATTTGAAAAGCTCTATGCATGAGTATCTAAGGAAAGGATATCCAATCCCCATAAGGTGAGATGTTGGATTTCACTTTATAAAAAAGAAACCATCACATAAGGAATACTCTGTTTCTTAGCAATGACTTTAACACAAGAGATTGTTACCCTGCTGGGTAACAAATAGTAATGCATTAACCTACCTACTCTAGCCTATGTAGAAGGCTTGGGTCTGACATTCCAATATTCTAATAAAAAGCAGGAGACAATATTCCAATTAAAAGCTTATGTGAGAGCTGGCAGAGTGGCTCAAGTGGTAGAGCCCTGCCTAGCAAGCACAAGGGCCCCAAGTTCAAAACCCAGTATCAAGGGGGAAAAAAAAAACTCAGAGGAGAGAAACTTCACACTTCATCTAAAGCAAATAAGTAAACCTAGACATCAGATCTATGGAAAGACTTACATGCTCTGTGAAATGTAGGAATAGACAGTAGGATTTCAGATTACTAATGATCATGATGAAAGCTGTATAACCATGAACAGGTGAAGCAATGAAAGAAAAAAGACACTTGCGGCACCTTTAATGAGAAGGAGAAGGAGACTTAATATAAAACCAAACTTTTCCAGATGCTCTGCACTATACAATACAGAAACCATGTGTGGGTACTAAGCACTTGAAATGTGCCAGATCACAGTAAGATATGCCATACCTATGTAAAATATACCCTACATTTCAAAGACTGAATATGGAAAAAGATTACTGTAATACATTACTAACAACTGAAAGGATAATATTTTATTTATTTGGAACTAAATAAGACACAGTATTAAAAGGTAATTTACATTGTACTTTTTTTAATTTGGCCACAAGTAATTTTAACATACATGGCTCCTTTTTGTATAGTATTTTAATATATTTTATATTTATTTTATATATTATATATTTTGTATTATATTTCTATTGGGCAGTGCTAAATTACTCCTGTTTATTAACGTAAGCCTTAAATTCATATGATTTTTTAAAAACACGTTATTACTGAATTTAATGTTTTGTTCCTTTAGTTAATATTAAGCTTGAGAACATCTTGGATAAGATGACATTAAGGTAAGAACAGTGACAGCTTACCAGACTGTCCAAAAAAGAGAGCCCAAATTTCTGGGCAGAGGCTTGAGCAGCAGAGTTGTTCCACCAAATAGTAAGCAGGTTCTCTTTGTGTTCTCTCTAGCAAAACGGTGACATGGTAAGAAAGAAGCACTGTGTACACAGAAGCAGGATTCGGATTCAACCAGGCTTAGCTGTATCCATCAGCATAATAGTATGCTCTACTTGGGGATCTGCTTGCTACAATCCACATGTTCAATTTATAGAGTAAACATTCCTTGCTAGGATTTATTCAATTTTACACATTCTCAGAAATTTCTATTTATATTTTGCCCTTTTGAGAATTTCACGTACAAGAACTCTAACTTACCACCAAAGAAAGCACATCTCTCTTGCTAAAGTGAAATGAAATAACAGCCATTACTTTTTATAAGATACCCTGACAAATTTTAAAAGGCACTGAATTTCCCACATTACAAATATTAATATCTGAAAACAATCTACCTAGAAACTTGAAGAGAACAGGATTTTAAGAAATTACAAATTTCACAAATATAAACAGAACACAATCTTATAAGATAGCACTGACTCAAAGACAGTGAATACAGTAACACAGAGAAAAACAATTGTCCTATCCCAACATAAGGCAATTAGCTTGAAAAAAATGTATTATATTTGGCAAGATAAAAATTAAATGAATATTTGAGATCCAAAATTTCCTACAGAAAAAGTTTACTCAAGTCAAGAGTTCTTTGGCACAAAACAATTCAAGGCTTCAAATAGTGCACTCAAGTCAAATTACCTTAAGTGTTAACAACAAATGGAAGAAATGGAACCAATGGAAGATACCCCAAGTAGTTAAAGGAGAACTTTGGATAAAGGTGCTAGCTAATTTGAGAGTTAAATATGAAAGTGCATCAGTTATTCATTCAAACATCTAGGAATCTACTAAACATAAGACATTACACTAGAGCTGAGTGTGGTGGTTTACACCTGTAATTCCAACTACTGGGGAGGCTGAGGCAGGAGGATTGCAAATTAGAGGTCACCCTGGGCTACACAGGGAGACCCCGGAGATTTGGGACAAAGAAAGATAGGGAAGGGAGAAAGAGAGAGAAGAGATGAAGATAGAGAAAGAGAGAGAAAGAGAGAAATTATACTAAATTTTGGAGATACAATGGTGAACAGACTATAATGTTTGACCATTACAGAGTTTATTTTTTGGTAGTTTCGTGAGAGAACAGGAAGTAGGGTCACCATCAATAATTTCCATGCCCAATACCAAAACCTTCCCTCCTTCTTCTATTTGTATTTGAAGGAAGAGAGGCAGAGACGGAGGAACAGGAAAAAAGAAAAGAGATCTGCATCTAACAACTGAATTAAGTCATCCTCTTTAGCTCCTTCCCTGTAAAACTCTGAGCTGAGTAAAGAAACAAGTTAAAGTCTACTCACCTCCCTCTCATCAATACCTAGTGCTCACCTGTTGGCTATCTCAGAATGAGGTTAATTTAGTGTTATTGTTCTAGGCTATTACTTTATTTTTCTACTATAGACCAGTATCAAGAATAAATGAAAACTGAAACAATAAAAGTCAATCCTTACAGGGATTTTTTGCACAAAAATAAGTAGTCATGCATAGTCTATAGGGAAAAACATGCTGTCTATAAAGCTAGTTTCCTTTCTACCACCATCACCAGATCTCCCTCACATCCAGAGGTAACTACGGCCATGAATTTGCTGTAAATGCTATCACTTTCCATTTATAAGGTCTCTCCATATCACGTACATCAAAAGGCAACGTGAAAACTGGAGCCAGGCAACTGAGGCTCAAATCCCAACTTTGATCTCAGCTCTGCTGTTTATGATCTGTGGGTCAGTACTAGGGTTTACCTATGGTTTGAGAGTATCCCCAAAGGTTTGTGTGTTAGAAGCTTGGATCACAATGTAGTCATATTGAAAGGTGAAGGAAACTTTTAAGAGTAACTACCTAGTGGGAGGTAATTAGGTCAATGGTGACATCACCCTCACCCTCAGAAGGGATTAATGCTGGTCTCACACCATGAATTATTTTTCTCTAGAGCAAAATGTTTAAAAAAAAAAAAAAAAAGCAAGACTGGCCTCTCACCATGTGATCTCTTCTGCACATGCTCCCACCACTGTGATGCCATCCACCTTGAGGCCCTCAACAGAACCAGAACAGATGGGGTTACCTGATTACAAACATTCAACCTCCAAAACTGTGAGCTATATAAAACTGCTTTTTAAATAAAGGAGTTTGTTATGGCAAAAGAAAACTGACTAATACCGTTATTTACCCCTTGATGCTTCAACATTTCCATATGTAAAATGAAGATAATGAAGAGCACCTATCTCTGAGTTCTCATGAGGATTAAAATAATTAATATTCACAAAGTGCGCAGAATAAACATCTAGACACAGAAAGTACATTTGTTTCTTAAATTAAAAAAAATCATCAAAGATAATAATCTAAATGTAGATGATATAATCAATCATATTATAACTCCTTTGTATTTTATTTGTATATGTGCCCTCCTACTGAGAGTCATTTAGTTTTTTCCTAATGAAAATCTGCATACAAATCTCATAGGGCAAACAGTCAAGTTTCTCTACACTAATACCTTGACTAGTAATTAATTGTCGGATACTAGGAAATGCACATTTTCAACTGCATTAACACCCCCTCCTGGGCTTTGCAATGTAATGGATGAAAATTGATAGCTCATAGGCTTTAAACTGTATCTCCCTACAAATGAGACTAAGTATCTTCAATTCATTTGACATTTCAATTTCCACTTTCCTCTTCTGCAAAGTGCTTTTGTATCTGTTGCTCATTTTATTCATATCATCAGTGTGATGGTTGTTTTTAAATTTTATTTTCTTCTCTCTTTAATCTCATTATATTTTTCCTGAAGACTGGAATGTATTTTAAGGATTTTTTTTTAATGGGAAGTAGAGACCTATTTTCCTCTCCATATAAAAACAATTCAGTCTATTTTTTCTTCCCTTGATGATAGGAAAGGCCATCTTTTGCATTTACTAACTTCCTGAATATGTATTTCTGAACTCGATTGTACTACATTAATCTGTCTTTTCCCATATTAATACTACACCATTTCAAATGCCATAATTTTTTTAATTGGGATATTGCTTAAAGTATACAACTACTGAGCACACAGCTTGATTTTAAATTTAAATACATATATCCCCCCTATGTGATTCAACCCAGACCAAGATACTGACATTTCTCACACTCCAGACTATTCTAACCCTTCCTTATCAGTACCATGTTTCCCAGATAACTGCTATTCCAATCTCTTTTTTTGAAGAGGGGAGGAGCGAGTAGGGAACTGGAGATTGAGCTCAGGGCCTTGTGCTTAGTAGGCAGATATTCCACTACTTGAGCCACTCTACCAGCCCTTTTTGCACTGATTGTATTTGAGATAGAGTCTCAATTTATATCCAGGCCAGCCTGGATCTCAGTCCTCCTACCTGTGCTTTCCCACATAGCTGGGATGACAGGCATGTGCCATTCACACCCAGGTGCTGGTTGAGAGGGTGTCTTACAAACTTTTTGCCCAGGCTGGCCTCAAATGGTAATCCTCCTGCCTCCTGAATGGCTGGGATTATGGGTTTGAGCCACCATGCCTGGTCTACTATTTTGTTCTCTTATCACCATACATCAGTCCTGTTTTTGAACCTCCTGCAAATGAAATCATATAATATGTAATCTTTTATGTCTCACTTCTTTTATACAACATTAAGTCTAGAAAATTCATTCTATATTGTGTGTAGCACAAGTTTATTGTTTTTCATTGCTGTGTAGTAGTTCACTCTAAATACCGCAATTCTAAAACTGGTCTTGATATACACACTGCCAAGTTCCTCCTCATTGTTCTTCTTCTTCTGTAAGTATCTTGGTTATTCTTGTTCCTTTAACTTTTGCACATGAGGCTCACTGTTCACAAAAAAGAATCCCATTGAGACTGCTGTCTAAAACTACATGCAATTCACAGAGAATTAACTTTAGTAAAATTTGTTATTAAATAAATTTTAAATAAACTTCCTACCCATGAAGAGTATAATCCTGCCTTTTATTTCTGTCTCTATATTTTTCAATAATATTTTGGGTACTTTATAGAATTTCCTATGAAGAAGATACTTTTCATTTTTTAAATGACAATTGCCAATCTGAATGTTGACCATAAATGTTGAATGTTGAATTCTCTTATTAATGCAAACAGTATGTTCATTTCTTTTAAATTTTCTAGGAAGAGGCTCATCTCATTTCTCTTCCTTTCCAATCCTTTTGGATTTTACTTCTTTTTATTGCTTATCTTGTTGACAGAAATATACTTGTCTTACTTTTGACTTTAATGAAAACGTGTCTAAGGTTTTAGTGTTACACGTGACTGGGAGTGTGGCTCAAATGGTAGAGTAACTGCCTAGCAAGCACAAGGCCCTGAGTTCAAACTCCAGTACCACAGGGGGAAAAAAAGATTTCCAACCCTTTAATTTAATACATGAATTTATCCCTAAGCATATTTCCCTTGTACCTCTCATGTTTTGGTACAATGCTCTTGCTGTGACACAGTTCTAAGTATTCTTTTGAGGCAGTCAGGTTCTTGCTTTGTAGCCCAGGCTGGCCTTGAACTCTTGGGCTTAAGCAATCCTTGCCTCAGACTTCCAAGTGCTGAAATTATAGGCATGAGCCACTCTATGCAGCTCTACCACATGATTTCCACTCATTTTTGTGGTTTTTCTGAGATGGCAGGGAAGGGGGTGGTCTCACTATGTTGCCCAGGCTAACATCGAACTCCTGCCTCAGCCTCCCACATTACTTTTTTTAATTCTTAAAAGTGTTTTATCAGTTTTACTTTAGTACTGCTTCTCCACCATTCTCTGTATTCCCTCTTCTGAAACTCCAATTTAGGCATATGCTTTCGTACTTTTCATGTCATCTTCCTGTGCTATTCTGGAAGAGTTCAAATTAGTGACTTCTCTCTTCAGTTGTGTTTACATACTTATTTATATTTATTATCTCTGAAATAATGATTTTTGTTCAATTATAATGCAATGTGCTCTTAACGTAAAAAAGGGAAGAGATATATTTTAAGGAACTTTTAGGCAAAATGTTCTTTGAAAAGGTCTCCTCTTTAATGACAAAAAAAATGTAGCTCTTAGGGGTTCTACTGACTGCTATTCTACAAAGCTGGCCCACTGTGCCGCCTGCATCAAGAAAGAAGAGGCTCTATTCTTCCCACTTTAGAATTACAGAAGGCAAAGCCCAGTAAAGTTCTTTTAACAACTTTCTCCTCGGCTTTTTTTTTTTTTTTTTTAATTTCAAAGCCACAGAAATGTCAAAAGTAAAATGAATACCCACACACCTTTCATCCGGTTCAAAATTGTTAACATTTATCACCTTTGCTTTATTTCTTCTTTTTTCTCTGTCTACATACACATACACACCCTCCCACCTAAATAACCACATGCCCTTTTCTCTGAACCTATTCCTGAACCCATCAAAATACCTTACTTTCAAATATTCCAGAAAATATCTTCAAATAAGAGAACTGTCAGTATAACCACCATGTCACCACTACACAAACCGTGAGATTCAACAGAACCTTAGATAGATGTGCAGTATAGACTGAAAACTAGTATTCAAGTCATCTGACTACATGTTCTTTATCTTGGCTTGTCTAATAATTGAATATGAATTAGTTCTATGGTTATTGTCATTATTTAGAAGAGATAATCTGTCAAAGAACATTTTCTTTGTTTAATGACGTTATAATTAGATTTCATTTGCTCCTTAATTGGACAGGTATTCTTACAAACAATACCTGTCGAATTATCCAAGTAAATGAAACAAAAGCTTCAGATTGCAGAAATTAAAGCTAGATAAACAGAATGGAATTGAACTAAGTACCCAGAATATGGATGAAAATTTTATTAAGACAGCTATAGCAGGGCACTACTACAAGTTCTAGGTACTAAAAATGCCTTAACAGTTATCTGATAATAATTCAGAATAAGAGAAAAACCAAAAATAAGAAAATTTACTTAATTCTAACATTTACGTGCCAACTCAACAAATTACCTACAGAATCAGAGAGCTCAAACTGAGCCAAACTGAACCAATTCTTCTACATTTCACACATCAATAAGCCCTTTCATTACTAATAGGGAAGTGGTAAATATAATTGCAACATACCCAAAATTATTTTTCCAATATACCTTTAATGAGGATAAGAGACAAACTGAAAGGTATGTTATTAAGCAGCACTAGTCAGACTAGGGGTGGAGCTTAGTGATAGAACATGTTCAATGCACAAGGCCCTGGGTTTGATCCCCAGCACCTCAGGAGAAATGGAAGTAGGGAAGAAAGGGAGAGGGAAAGGGGAAAAGGAAAAGGAAAGGAAAGAACTGCTAATCAATTGACATAGAACTACCCAGTGTTTAGTACTACTGTGTCAAAATAATTTGATGAAACTTGGTATGTGCATACATTGTACACTTCAAGTTTTTATTTCACAAGACATCATAAATAGATTCATGAAAGAATTCATCATGTAGTTTTCCTATGCTGCTTTAGAATACAGTATTTACCAAAAACTAATAAATATGTAATTTTAGAAAAATTAGGCAAATAATCACTTTAAATTACTGCCACATGTTTTATTAATGTAGTCATTAAGTTTGTTTTATCATTCATAATCCACAATAAACATGGAAAAAGAAGCTGTTACAAACAACTTCCTTTCTTTCTAAAGAGAAGAAATTTGAGGAAAAAAAAAATCTCAAGTTTGTGAAAGCCAGATTACTTACCAGTAACTTGAGTTATCCTATTGGGTCTTTTCCCTCACAGATCCACCTCTCTTGCCCTTCTGTGCAGCATGAGAATCTTCCTGATGGGCATCCACTGGAACTGAGGGGGCATGCAGTACAACGTATATGTAAGAAAGTTGGGGGTAGGGGATTTGGGAGATGCTAGAGACATGCTTCAGTGCACTTGCTTACCTTCCTGAATTTGGAAATTTCAACGCTTCCTTGGTCCTCGAGGCATTCACAATAACTTCAAAGAATGTGGATCTGTGGAGATTACCCAATAGGAGAACTCCAGTTACTGGTAAGTGATCCAGTTTTTTCTTCTCTATCAGAATAAGAAGATTATTTAATTTTATTTGAGATTATTAACACATGTAGAACTATAGGAGAAAGGGATGTAAATCTACCAGACAGCTATATGTGCACATACCAAAGAAAACATTTTCTTAACAGAGTGTCAACAGAAACTCCTGTTATTATCAGAAACACAAGAAAAAGAAAAAAGATTTGAATGGAATCATTTTAAAACATCCACTACTGCCAGATGCCAGAGGCTCACGCCTATAATCCTGGTTATTTGGGAGGGTGAGATCAGGAGGACCGGGTGATATGAGGCCAATCTGGGCAAAAAGTTCGCAAGATCCCATCTCAACCAATAGCTGGGTGTGGCAGTGTGAACCGCTCAGCCCAAGCTACACGGGCGGTTGAGTTGGGGAAGGATTGTGATTCCAGGTGAGCCTGGGCAAAAGAGTTTGTGAGACTTTATCTCAAAGGAAAAAAACTAGTCATGGTGTCATGTACCTGTCATCCCAACAGAAACAGGAGGATCAAGGTCCAGGCTGGTTTGGACAAAAAGCCAAGATCTCATCTCCAAACTAACCAGAGCAAAAAGACTTGGAGACAATGGCTTAAGTGGGAGAGCACCTGCCTAGCAAGAACACATCCTGAGTTCAAACCCCAGTATCATTAAAAAATAAGTAAAATGTCCACTATAATGGGAGCTGTATTTTAAAAATATAAGCTATCAAACTATTCCATTTACTGAAACATCACCAATTATTTCTTAGTATCAGTACAAGATAAATAATTGATCAAAATCTGCCATTTCTTAAGATTATTAGCAACCATGGTGGCTTCTATACTAAAATATATACCGTCACCATGGTTGGTTAACAATCTTTTAGACTTTAGATTAAAAGCATCAATACAATTCCTACTGTCACCCAATTAAGTCTTTAAAATAATCTTTTATCACCTAGTAATAAACCAACCACACATGCACATTAACTTATGCCAGTCACTAATAAATAATAATGCTAATTTTAACTTAAATCCTTGCAACAAAGGGAATACAGTAAATTTTTATAAACTTTTGAAATAGTTTAACATAACCAAAAAGGTCATTTAGAGACTGGCACTGAAAGCTAGGTTTTGCTATCATTACCATTCCATAAACCCAACTAAGGTGAGTGTGTGTATGTGTGTGTTGTGCTGGGAATTGAGCCCAGGGCCTCACACATGATAGACAAGTGCTCTACCACTGAACTACATTCTCAGCCTTCAGAATGATGTCATCAGAGCAGCTCAGGAAAAAAACTGCAGAGATTTGGATATCCTGTGTGACTGCTATAATGCTCATCAACAAATTTGTACTCCTTAGTAGTCAAAACCCAAATCAAACATTTCACTAAGGAAAAACTGCATCATAAAATCAATCTGAATTTAGGAATAAACTGCATAGATTAGACTGTGGCAGCTAACTCACTTCTACTATCACCCTTAGCTGTGGTTTTGATGATTTCAGGTACGTTATTTCTAATTGTCATTTAAGACTCAAAATTCTAATATCTGGCATTATGGTTATGAAAATTTTTTCTTCATGTAAATCCTGGAAGTCTGTTAATAGTGTAATATCCAGGTGCCAGTGGCTCACACCTGCAATCCTCACTACTTGGGAGGCTGAGGTCAGAAGGATCACGATTCAAGGACAGCCTGGGCAAATAGATAATGAGACCCCATGAGCAAAATGGACTGGAGGTATGGCTCAAGCAGTGGAATGTCTGCTTTGCAAGCATGAATCCCTGTGTTCAAACTCCAGTCCATGAAAAAATAAATTTTTGTATTAAATACACATTTGCACATACTTAAGTAACATCACTGATGGTTCAAATGTGGGTTGAGTGTACATACACACAAAGATAGGTAGATACACAGTGGAGTTAAACATTAGTTAACCAAAATGAGGTCAAAGTAAATTATAAAATTACCTAGTAAGTAATGTTCTTTATAAAAACTGCCTTCTTTTTAACTCCTTTAGCTCATGAGACAGCTTAGGTAAAGTACAGAAACTTGCATTATCTGCTTTTTCCTAGCTAGACCTACCTTCTCACTATCACCCAAAAGGGAAAAGCTCTAGAGGGCACATGAGTTATAAATTATGACAATGATATTCTTGCTCTTTTTATACTTGACAAAAATCTATCAAGTTCATTGTCTAATTGACCTTTTTAGTCCCATGTACACTTACACTTCTCTCAGAGTCCCCAAATTATAAATACCATTTCATTTCTTAATAAAAATTTTCCTTTCTCTCAGTTTTATTCCACTACTACTTCCTACACCAACCCATAAAGAAACAAAAGCAGTGCAACTGCCAGGCATTGGTGGTTCATGCCTGCAATCCTAGCTACTTGGGAGGCAGAGATCAGGAGGATCACGGATCAAAGGCAGCCCAGTTCTCAAGACCCTATCTTGAAAACACCCAACACAAAAAAGGGTTGGGGCCAGGCACCAGTGACTCACACCTGTAATCGTAGTCACTCAGGAGGCAGAGATCATGAGGACTGAGGTTCAAAGCCAGTCCCAGTAAACAGTTTGAGACCCTATCTGAAAAACCCCATCACAAAAAAGGGCTGATGGAGTGGCTCAAGGTGTAGGCCCTGGCCGGGTGCCAGTGGCTCCATGCCTATAATCCTAGCCACTCAGGAGGCGGAGATTAGGAGGATCTGGCTCCAAGACAGCCATGGCAAATAGTTTGAGAGACCCTACCTTGAAAATACCCATCACCAAAAGGGCTGGCAGAGTGGCTCAAGGTGAAGACTCAGAGAGTTCAAGCCCCAGTATCACAAGGGGGAAAAAAAAAAAAAAAGGTGTAGGCCCTGAGTTCAATACTCAGACAAGAAAAAGGGGGGGGGGGGCTAGGATTGTGGCTCAAGTGGTTGAAAGCCTGTGAAATACTGCCTAGCAATCATGAGGCCCTGAGTTCAAACCCCAGTAACCACCAAAAAAAAAAGAAGTACTATTTTGTTTACCCAAATTAGCCTAATTCAAGATGGCAAACTATATTCATCTGTAAAGGAATAGCAACAGAACCTACTTCACAGGGCAATTATAAGATTTAATTAAATGAATGTAAGTAAAGCATTTAGAAACAATACCAAGAATCTAACCTGAATCAAACTATTAACATAACCACCCAGAAACTGGATTATTTTCAGAAGACTTTCTACACCAATTGTGGAGCCATTAAAAGAAGAAATTCTAAACTTAACTCAAATTTGTTCTTTACATTAGTAGTTGCAATATTATTTTAAAACTAATTTATATATTGCAAGATAAAGTAAGTAATTTACATTAATGATATTAGGAATCACAGTTTGCAGCAAAAAAGAACCACAAAAACATGTTAATGTTAAAACTGAATTGTACCCTAAACTCAGGAGGCTGAGGCAGGACGATACTGAGTTCAAGGCCAGCCTGGGCTACACAGCAATATCCTGTCTCAAAATAACCAAAGAAAATCTGGGGGTGGGAGTATATGCCAGTGATAAAGTGTTAATCTAGTATGTGCCAGATTCTAGGTTCAATCCCCAGGACCACCAAAAAAAAAAAAAAAAAAAAAGAAGGGCGCAAAGAGAACTGGGGATACAGCTCAGTGCTAGACCACTTGCCTACCATTTGCCTACCATGCTTGAGGTCCTGCACTCAATCCCCAGCACTGCAAAAAATAAATAAATAAAATTTAATTGTAATACCAATAAAAATACAATTTTAATAATACATACAATTTTCAAAACAGTTCATGAAACATTCAGACAATAGTTACCAAGTAAACTACACTATCATACCAATATGTAAATTATATCAGCTAATACTACAAAATAAACCACAGTATTAGATTTACTTTAGTAAAGGCTGATACTCAGACTTTAAAAGTTGCCAAATATTCCTGCAAATTGTTTTCCATGTTACAATAACTAACTTCCATAGTTTGAATCTTGTAACTCCAACTGCCAACAAATTATAAAATGAAAATATGAGCAAACAGTATCTATCCGTGTTGTTGACTGATATTTGATGGTTGAGACACTAATATCCAAATTTTGTGAATGTGTCAGAAGTAATAGGATGTCACTTTCAAAAGTTAAAAGGTCTGTGACTTCCTTTTGGGGGGCTTTGCCTCGATGTCTGTCAGGTGTCTTGCTTTGGGGCTAGCCAGCTGCCATGTTTGGGGCAACCTTACAGAGAAGCCCACATGGGCAACAGCTTCATGAGTAACTTGGAAGCAGGTGTTCTAACACCTGCTGACAACCGTAAGAGTGAGTTCAGAAGTAGATCTGAGGTGACTGCGGCTCTGGCCAACAAACTGACTATAGCTTTGTGACTGAAAAGATGAAGCAAAGAACATAATTATAATATTAAGATTAATCTGGTGGAGCATGGTGGTATATGCCTGTAATCCTAGCACTTGGGAAACTGAGGCAGGAGATTCTGAACTCAAGGTCAGCCTGGGCTATGTAGCAAGTTCCAAGCTGGGCTAGAGTGAGACTATCTCAAAAAATAAGTAAAAAATTTAAAAAATAAAATTAATCTTACCAGATTTTGAAGCCCTGATTAGTTTTCAAAGCAATTCTTAATAACATCGCTAAAATGTAAGTGCCTATTTTCTGTGTAAAACTGATTTTATAAAACAATGGTAAATTTTTCTGACAATAAATTTCAATATATTCTCAGGTCAACAGCAATATTTACTATAACAATGAGTGACTCTGAATGTCTCATTTTCCTTCCTTTGAAAGGGAAGTTATTCCTCTTTTATTTCCTTCTCTTTTTTTGGCTGGGGGCGGGGGGGGGGGTGCTCCCGCAATGCTAGGGTTTGAACATGGCCTTTGTTATACCACTTGAGCCAAGCCCCAGCCCCAACACTCATTTTTGTTTCCAGTAAATAAATAACTTTTAAGTAGCAATTCCTCTCTTACATTTTGCTTATGGTTAATCGTCTGACTTTAAAATAATACATTCACTATCACTAAAGAAGGATACAGGGCAGGGGGTAAATTTTCCTGGTAAAATGCTCACATAGCATGTACCAGGCCCTGGGTTCAATACCTGTACCTAGAAATACAAAACAAAAGTGAATATAAAGCCATAAGTACTGACAGTTCCCTACTTTTTTTTTTCCCCTGTGCTGGGGGGATAGAACCCAGGGCCTAGTGCATGAACCTAGTGCATGCTAGGCAAGTGCTCTACCACTGAGCTGCATCACCAGCCCCAAGCCATAAATACTGAAATGCCACACCTTTCAGTATCTTCAGTGGATGTTCATTAATTACCTTTTTCATGGAGTCACACATCAAGGTATTAACAACACTAGGGTACAAACCCATCCTATTTGAAGTAATCTCAAAATATTAGTGCTCTGTTATCTTCCACCCAACTAAAGGAATAGCCTAACTAGTTTTTCTGATTCCACTCCTGCATCCTGCCAACACATTCTCTTTACAGGAACCACATAACACTTTTTTGGCTTCTCATTACACTTCCAGTCAAATCTAAATGTCTCCGTGTACAGTGGCTCATGTCCAAAATCCCAGGTACAAATCAGGAGGATCAAGGCTGGAAGCCAGCCTGAAGAGGGGATGTTAGTGAGACCCACCCCCAATTCAACCAGTAAGTTGGACAAGGTGGTACATGCTTATCACCCCAGTTACGTAGAAGGTCCCAGGTAGGAGGATCATGGTCCAAACCAGAACCAGGATATAAATGCAAGACCCTATTCACATAATAACAAGAGCGAAAAAGGGATATGAGCGTGGCTCAAGTGGTAGAGTACCTGCCTAGCAAGTGTAAAGCCCTGAGTTCAAACCCCAGTACTGAAAAAAAAAAAAAAAAAACCTAAATGTCGTATCATTTAAGACTAAAATGTGATCTCGTAGTCTTCCCACTTCAGCTTCATCTGATGTCACCCACCTCTGCCTCACCAGACACCAGTCTTTGCTCAATATAAAATGAACTTTCTTACTGGAAGGACTTTACACTTGCTGTTAACCAGAAGTTTTTTAAGAATACCTCCTGTTATCCTTCCGTTTATGGCTAACTCACCTCCCCAAAGAAACTTACTATGTTATATTATTATTAGAATTACTATTTCAAATAATTCCCCTTGTTATCACTATCTGCAACTATTTTAGCTGTATTCTTTGTTTTGAATCTGAAATTCCATGAGTAAGGACATGTCTTGTTCTCTTTTCTGACTTCATTACCTAGCCCAGCATCTGCTCCATAATAGCATTCCAAAAGTTGTTTAATGAGTAATTGAAAGATTTTCAAAATTTACCAGCTACTCACTGATTTTCAGTTCTGAACCGAATAGCCAGGAAGCTATTTCTTATACTATCTATGCTCTAAATAACTTTCTAACTCAGGAGTCATAAAACCACAATCTTCCCAGGCAAGTTACTCAGGAGGCAGAGACCAGGAGGATCACGGCTCCAAGACAGCCAGGGCAAATAGTTTGAGAGACCCTATCTCGAAAAAACCCTCACAAAAAAAAAAAGGGGGGGGGTGGCTGATGGAGTGGCTCAAGGTGAAGGTCCTGAGTTCAAGCCCCAGCACCACACACACACACAAAAAAAAAACCCACAATCTTCAAACATAAATCCCATCAAATCCAATGTTCTTAAAAAACAGTTATCACTTTATAGATCAAAAACAGTTTTTTTTTAAAAAGTGCTGTGACTTCCTTAGTTAGCTAATCAATAAAAAATACTATGATTCAAACCTCCTAAAAAGAGAAGACTGGGGCTGGCACAGTGATTCAAGTGGTAGAGTACCTGTGTAGCAAGCATGAGGTCCTGAGTTCAAATCCTACTACACCCAAACAAAAGAAGTTTCTTCACCATACATGAAATAACTACGTAATTTCCCAAAAGCTTTCAAAGTTACCATACACTTACTTAACTACTTAAAAAAAAAAAATTCCTGCCACCAAGATATCTACTCAGAGTTTTGGGGTTTTTTAATTAATTCCATTATGATCTAAAGCTACAATTAAGACCTACCTTTTGTATGGTTTTTAAATACAGGTTCTGAGGGGGGAAGGGAAGGGACGGAGGTAGAGGGGAGAAATGACCCGAACATCGTATGCACATATGAATAAATGAAAAAAAAATAGAAAAATAAAGACAGGTTCTAAAGACACTAAATAATTATAGCATTATTCCTTGGGCACAACGTAGTTACTAATATAATTTTACTCATCTTCTATCTACCAATATTAACCTCCTTTATTTAACCTATAAGATATAATTCAGGACTATTATAATTATCATGAAAAGCTTATGGCAAGCACTATATAGGATTATTATATTGTTCAAACTTAAAACGTACCTCTAAATACTATACACATTAAAACAAATGTCACACTGGAAGTGACAGCACACACCTGTAAAACCAGCATATGGGAGGCTAAGGCAGGAGGATCAAGGCCAAGGCCAGTTATCCAGCAAGACCCTGTCTCAAAAAAAAAAAAAAAAAATTACTTGGGCTGTAGGTGGTCCAAGCAGAAGAGTGCCTGCCTAGTAAGCATGAGGCCCTGTGTTTAAACACCAGTGCCACCAAAAGCAAAATAAAACTACAAAAAAAAAGAAAAAAACATACGACTCGACAGAAAAAACTGAAATGCTATCTGGTGAACGTAAAAGCCAATTCATGTGATTAAATGCACCCTAAGCATCCTCTTTCCTCTCTTTCTGTAATAATATACTCCCCTGTGCTTCTTACTTCCTAATTATTTTTGTCTCTTTCATCATCTTTGGGGGATGCTCATCTCCTGAAAAAGAAAAAGATGTTTCTCAAAGGTCAGTGCTAGGTCTCTTTCCTCTTGCTATGTGGTCTATTCTCTCCCAGATCTGTCAGACGTACTTCCTTGGTAATCATACATGCTAATGATTAGCAAATATGTATTTATAGCTAAACTTTAATCACATATCTAACTGAACTGCCACAGATTTTCCCTCTCAGACTTCTTCCAGGCTCCTCAAGTTTAACAAATCTAAAATTGAACCTATTCCCCAAACCTGTGTCTGTGAAAAGTGCCACCATTCACCGAGCTGCTTAATTAAGCCAGAACCTACATTCATTCCCAACTTTCTGTACAAACCAATTTCCTACCTCCCATAATCATGTTCAATCAACCATCAAGTACTATAAATGTTTCTCCTGAACACATCTAAAATCTATTGTTTCCCTCTCCCCACTAGCACTGTCCTTGTTCAGGTCACTACTGTATCTTACCTAGCTAGACTACAGCAATGACTTCTACTGAATGGTTTCTCTGCCTGTCATTAAAATTCAGCAAACAAGCAAGCACGTCAGAGTAAAATGGAACTGGCTGTGTGATTCCAATTATACACTGTACTGATGTAAAAGAAAACATTTTTAAAACTGCTAAACAAGTTGAAAACAAAGGTAATGTAGTTTGCAAGATGGAAATTTAAACTGCAATGTGATTCTCAGACCAATGGTACTGCCTCAGGAAGACAACAGTTCAGAGACACAGAAAGGAAAAAAAAACACATTTTCAATATACTATGTAAATACAACTATCACTTTTTGCACAGAATACTTCCAGGCATTTATTATGGCCAAGGAACAAGGGAATACTTCTTGAGAGAGATAACCTGAGCAATTATAAAGAACAAGAAAGAAATTGTGGAAGAGGAAATACAGGACAGAAGAACCAGCGTAATACAGAAGAGAGCACAGTGAGATAAAGACAATATCCACACTGTGACAATTCCAACCTTGACAGCAAGAATTTAACTATGGCAAATAGTAAAAATAGATAGATAGATAGATAAAACACTTACTTTT